AAAAACGAAGACATCGAAAAAACTATTTTTTCCTTCAACAATGGAAAATGCGAATATATACGAATACCATTTGGCTTGAAAAATGCTCCAAGTATATTCTAAAGATCTATGGATGATATATTAAAAGAATTTATCGGAAAAATCTGTCATTTATATATCGACGATATTATAGTTTATTCACAAAGCATGGAAGAACATAAAAAGGATTTATTAAAAATAATACAACGTTTAAAAGAAGCAAATATGAAAATTTCATTGGAATCTCATCAAAGTTTTTCCAAAAAGAAGTTGAATTCTTAGGTTATGTTGTTGCTCATAATATTATAAAAACAGACCCAAATAAAATAGTCACTATTAATGACCCGAAACTCTTAGACAGCTTAAAAGTTTCCTAGGCATGACAGGCTTTTATAGGAAGTTTATAAAAGGTTATGCTTTTGTTACAAAGCCACTAACGAAATATTTAGCTGGAGAGAATGACAGAGTATCTAAATTTAGCTCAAAGAAAATAGAAATAAAGCTAGACGCAGAAGCAATCAAAGCCTTCGAAAAACTTAAGAAATTATTAATAAATCAAATGGAGCTAATACAACCAGATTACGATTCAAAATTCGTGTTAACTACTGACGCGTCCAACGTGGCAATTGGTGGGGTACTTATTCAAAACGGCAAACCCATTACATTTATATCCAAAACATTGAATCAAACAGAGCAGAATTATTCTACAGAGCAAATTATATGCAATAGTTTACTAAAATTAAATTATATTATAATTTCTTATATGGGGTCTAAGATTTAGAAATTCATGCTGATCATCAACCACTAACACTCGCTGTAACTACTCGGAATCCTAACGCCAAGATAAAAAGATGAATCGCATATGTTGAAGAATTCGCACCAAAAATTAACTACAAACCTGGAACCACAAATGTGGTGGCAGGTGCCCTTTCACGGCAATACCTAATTCAGCTTCCAGAAAATTCTTCAATTACCTCTACACATTACTCTGCAGAAAGTAGTGAGAACACTACTATAAAGGAAAGGACCAAACCACTAAACCAGTTTAAGCAGTAGATTTTTCTATCAAAAGCAAAAAACAAATTTTGAAAAAACCCGACATATTATAGAATGTGATACAATCGAAAATCTTTTAACAATTCTGAAGGAATACCTTCAACCTAAAGTTGTGACTGCAATCCATAGCACACCTGAAAATCTTTACGAAATTAAAAATCAGTTAATCGAAACATTCATGCACATAGAAGTTGTAGAGAAAATTTAAAACAAATCTTTACCATATATTATTGGCCCAAAATGACCCAACATTTTAAACAATTTGTAAGACACTGTGGGATTTGTAATAGAAATAAATATGATAGGCCTCAAAAGGTACCAATTGGTATGGCACCAATTCCCAAGAAGGAGGGAGAGTTAACCCATTTCGACATTTGCTTATTCAAAATATCTGTTCATTAAACAAATTGAAGACAAAACAAATCTTGATGAAAAAGTTTTGGAACTAGATAACGAACCAGGTTCCTCGAAACCCAAGTTTAAGTCATGAAGCGAATGGGTATTAAAATTTATTATTGTGATTCACAGAATAGTTTAACGAACGAACAGGTAGAAAGTGTTCATTTAACGATAATTGAAATATCAAGATGTTTAAGACAGGAGTTTAGTATTGTAAACGATCTAGAAGTAATATTTAGAGCTGTTCAACAATATAACAAAACTATTCATACGGTTACTAACTACAGACCGCAAAACATATTATATAATAAACTAGACCACCCCGATATACCAGAAAAATTAGCAAACGCACAAGAAACTATATTAAAAAGAAATTACAAATTAAAAGGTCTGAAAACGTACGAACTTAACGAAATAATTTATGAAAAGGTAGAAGGCAAAAAAAATAAGTTAGATGTAAAATATAAAAAACAGAAAGTAAAAAAAGATCTAGTGAACAGTGGCGTAACTACATTTTTTAGACCCATAAGCAAATTCTAACTAAGGGGCTCCTACTAATATCTTTTTATACCCTTTACACGAAAAAGTGTAAAAAGGGTATATTAGGTGTGTCAAGATTTTCGTAACGTCTATTTGAAGTCTGTTTCAGTATTTGAACAATGTGTCAATTTATTCTCTGTATCATGATTAGCAAAGGCATCATTTAATTCATTTACTACTTCACTTTTGTTTTAATTTATTTTTAGAAAATTGTCTAGTTTTGGTCATTTCTTTAATGTTTCTTCTCGTTCGTTTTGCTCTTTTCTTTTCTTGGCTCCACTTAAATGTCAACACAAAGAAATTTTAAAAATTTTCTTGAAATTACAAATGCAACCTTGTTCAAAAACCAAAATTTATGTTATTCCAACAAAAAATGTTTCGTCCCACTTTTGAGGATTTATTAAAAATAAATATAATGAATATATAAATTTATAATGGGAACCTCCAGAACATCTAGTTGCTTCCCTGTAGTTACGCCACTGCTAGGGAAAAAAGTTAAAATCCATTGCAATAACAGAAGAGTACACAGAGACAATATATGAACTTAACTTAATTTCAACTTAACAGATTTAATGGACGTATCGAAATTCAAAATTTTATAAAATCCAGATTTAATAATGGTATATATATCATATCCAATTATCGAAAACAATTGTAAACTTTTTGAAACCCGAGCAATTAGCCAAAATGATGGAGAAATAATTATTGAAAAAGAAATTGTAAAATGTAATAATGTGTTCCTCAGTATTGAGAAATGTGAAATAGAATTAAAAACGTGTGCGAGTTGGGCTAAGTTGATGCTAAACCAAATTGGAGATTTTTGGGATTTTTTGCACTGCACACATATAGCCATTTATTAATACATACTACATTATCGGTACAACTTGGAATTTCCCTCATTTAGAACGCAACTTATACGGCGTTTACATTGGCCGAAAATGGCTCATTTTGAATGACTCATTTGAAAGTGTTTACATTCGTTGTATTTCATTCGTTCTCATGGTAACATTTCAAACTGAAATAAAACTACTAAACATTTGTTTATCTTTTTTTGTAAATATGTCAAAACAGCTTTTACAAACTGTCAAAATGCCATGAAGAGCTTTCATTTAGGGTATGTTCAATAGATTCCTTTGCATTTGGAACATATGTGGAATGCATTCGAACGTCATTCATACAGAATGTGAGAAAATTGCTCATTTTGTGCTTGAAATTTTATATGCAAGAATGAGCCATTCGATACTCATTTTCGATTTTTGACCAAAATGAGCCATTTTCGGCCAATGTAAACGCCGTATTAGCCTAACTCGCACAAGTCCTAAATAATAACTTTTGTAAACTGCTAAAAAATGAGACTTCTCTGTCCAATTTGTTGAACCATAAAAAAGGCGCAAATAAAAAGATAAAAGAAAAAAAGAACAATATTGAAATAATCAAAGATGGTACAATACTTACCGCAGGAAAACATATTGCAAATGAACATTCTATAGATGGTATATACTTAATTAATTTTGAAAGTAATGGTAAAATAGACAATATCATTTATGTTAATCCAACCACAATAATTAATAACTATATAAAAATAACCACCGGAATAGCTACAAAATTGCCGAATATATTGAAAGCAATCATGAAGAACTAAAATTCGGCAATACCAACCTAATTGCAAACACAAAATAAAACACATCAGACATCATCCTATAATTTCATCAACAGTAACTATAACCGTCATAGCAACTATTATTGCCGTCTGCCAAAAGACCGTAAAAATGTTTAAACAAAATTCCACAAGGTCTAGAGAGGTCCTGGAAATGAATCAGCGTATATAACGTATCTACGATCACTTGCAGCAGACATAAACAAATTCCCAGCCGTCTAACCAGACTGAATCACAGAACACAAGCTGTGGTAATATGGAGAAATTATTTCTGAGCAAGTTTAACTGGAAAAGAAAAATTAAATTTAACAATATCATAATAATTAAAGAGTTTAAAGAAACAGGACGTTTCTCTTTAAGAAAGAGGGGTGTTATCGCACGCTATCACTTTATACAGTTAAGTATACATTAGAAAATCATTTATAAGAGAAAATAATAGAGAATAATACGGCGTTTACATTGGCCGAAAATGGTACATTTTGGTCAAAAATCGAAAATGAGTATCGAATGGCTCATTCTTGCATATAAAATTTCAAGCACAAAAACGAGCAATTTTCTCACATTCTGTATGAATGACGTTCGAATGCATTCGACATGCGTTCCAAATGCAAAGGAATCCATTGAATATACCCTAAATGAAAGCTCTTCATGGCATTTTGACAGTTTGAAAAAGCTGTTTTTAACATATTTACAAAAAAGGTAAACAAATGTTTGGTGGTTGCATTTTCTTGAAAACGATGCACTGCTTTTTAGAACTTTTATTTCCCAAAAAGTAATTAATCGAAGTTAAAAATATGTTTTAAGTTTCTAATGTAAGGTTTGAAGGCATATTTTAACCTTCATGCAACATTTTTTTGGCACAGGCCAAAAATCAAATCAACATGCAAGTTGAAAAATCAGCTGTTGAAATGAGAACAAATGAAATAGAACGAATGTAAACACTTTCAAATGGCTCATTCAAAATGAGCCATTTTCGGCCAATGTAAACGCCATATAAGATTGATTTACAATTATGATCTGAGCAAGCTTTGAGTAAAAAGATTTATTTGTAAGCTCATGTTATTTGAATATAGAAGTAGGAGCATTGCTCCCTTAGTTTAGAATTTTGTTACGAACTTTATGAACGGAACACAGTAGAAATCACTACTAGTGTAAATAAATGTAAATAGATTTTTAAAAAAACTAAACCGGCTGGCACAAATTAATTTGCACACCGAGTATGAAGACCTTTGATATTCACTTTAAAACAAGCTGTAAATATATCGCATACATGTCTGAAGACCAAAATTTGGTATACTTGAATATAAACAGTGTGATTTGGCATACATGGGTTGCATACATGTAGCATCGTCTATATCATGCTTTAATCGTCAATCTTATTTTATTTTAGCTGATATACTCAAACTGGATATATGCCAGCAAGTTATGTTTGCGTTAACAACAAATTATAATGCGCATAATAAAATCATTTAAAAGCAAAAGTTTAATTGGATGGCAGCCTGGCCGTTATACAAACAAATTTGAAGCTGTCAAATATAAAAGCACTTTGTATTTTTAGTAAATAAATTCCGGTGGGTTTTTCTTGAAGTAAAGGACAAAAACGAATAGAGGGTGCTCGAAAGTGTTTGAAGTAACCATGGGCATTTTAGAGAAAATCTCTGAAATAGAAAAAGAGATAGCACGCACACAAAAAAATAAAGGTATGTAGAAATATATGCACAGCTGGCATTGTGCACGAATGCCAGCCAGGAAATAATTTAGGTTAGATCGCAGTGAAACTAATTTAACTTTTATAAATTTAGCAACTGAATATCATTTGGGTTTATTGAAAGCGAAGTTAGCAAAGTATCGATCACAATTACTAGAACCGTCTAAGAAGGGAGAAAAGGGCGAAGGGTTCGATGTATTGAAAAGCGGCGATGCTCGAGTAGCCTTAATAGGGTTTCCATCAGTTGGTAAGTCTACATTACTTTCAACATTAACAAAAACAGAGTCGGAAGCGGCTAATTATGAGTTCACAACTCTTACTTGTATACCGGGAGTTATTGAATATAAAGGCGCTAATATACAATTACTTGATTTACCCGGCATTATAGAAGGTGCTGCACAGGTGAATCATTTTTTTATTAACGGAAACAATTTGAACTCATATTATATATTCTGTTAAAGGGAAAAGGCAGAGGTCGTCAAGTTATTGCCGTTGCGCGCACTGCAGATTTGGTAGTAATGATGTTGGACGCCACGAAACCAAATGTACATAGAGATTTGTTAGAGCGCGAATTGGAATCGGTGGGAATTAGACTTAACAAACGGAAACCTAATATATATTTTAAACAGAAGAAAGGTGGTGGCTTGAGCTTTAATGCTACCTGTTCGTTAACGCGCTGTAATGAAAAAATGGTACAGACCATACTACATTCGTTTAAAATATTCAATGCAGAGGTGCTTTTCCGAGAAGATTGCACTGAGGATGAATTTATTGATGTAGTTACTGCTAATCGTGTTTATTTGCCTTGCTTATACGTGTATAATAAAATAGATCAAATATCTATTGAGGAAGTAAATCGATTGGCTCGCGAGCCTTTTTCGATAGTTGTCAGTTGTAATATGAAATTAAATTTAGACTATTTGCTGGAAGCATTATGGGAAGCTTTGCAGTTAATTCGTGTGTATACCAAAAAACCAGGAGCACCACCAGATTTCGATGATGGATTAATATTAAGAAAGGTATATATGCATAGTTCTATTTAAGTAATATAATTAAATTTAATAAATCATATTCATGCATTGGTAGGGTGTCACTGTGGAACATGTTTGTCACGCTATACATAGAACGTTGGCTGCTCAATTCAAGTACGCTTTGGTATGGGGAACTTCTACTAAATATTCCCCACAACGTGTTGGTATTGCACATGTAATGGCTGATGAGGACGTAATCCAAATCGTGAAAAAATGATAAAAAAAAACAAAAAGCACAATGTAGGAATGCTTAAGTTATGCAGTTCCTTAAATATTACATTCAATTTTTTGTTTACATCCACTTAAATTAGTGTGTTTGATATTAAATATTTGTATATATCCTCAATAAAGGTAGGCCTTATAAATATATAAAAGCAGAATTAAATTATGAAATAACGTCTTTCTTTATTCAAATCATTTTTGAAAAACTGAATAATTTTTAGGTAGTGTGCACCATATTATTCCCTGTTGGATTGGTATTAGAGCTGTTGTAGGATTTACTAAAATTATTGATTGCGGCGATGTTTGAAAATGGAGTTGGGCCCGAAGTTATACGTGAAGTGTCAACCTGCTTTTCTGGATTGTCGAGTTTGGCGAAAACATTAGTTGGGTCCCTGAGGCGATATTTTCTTAAATTTAAATATAGCTCCTTTTGTGTCTCCACTTCTTGGTGCTTCTCATTCAGACGTCCTGCTAAGGATATAAAACACTCGTTAAGATGCTTAAAGCCTCGTTTTAAGTCTTCTGGTGAAATTATGCGTGGATTTTCTAGGGACCGCATGTGCTGCTCTGTATCAGAAATTTGTTGACGAAAATTTATTAAATCTTGTTCATATTTAGCTATTAAATTCTGAAAGTATTGGAATGGAACGTTGTTTTCGAACTGTAAGCCTGACGGTGTGTCTTGTGTCCGTTGTGCCATTTCCATAGCTTGAATATTTTTTGTTGTTTCTTTTCGTAAAAGTTTTATAAGGTTGTAGTTGCTTTCAACACCATTCGAAATTTCTTGTAAGTTCCACTGCAAATTAGATATCTCTGTGGTTACATTAGTAAGTTTAGATGAAGATGTGCGTCCTACGTCAGAAGAAATAGTCTTTTGGGATTTAATGTGGATTTTTAAATCGTCTGCTATTTTTGCAATCATATCTGGCACTTGGGTCTCTTTAACCTGAAAGCTATAAAATAAATATATACGATAGACGACTTCTGCATGGAACCTACCTTAATGTCCTGCTTAATATCACCGGGCTTAGGTTGCGTAGCACTCACATCAAGGCCACCTAAACCAACAAATGTGGTTGAAGCAGTAACAGGAACGGTAATCCCTACAGCAGCTTTACCAAATAAGTTCGACGGTACTGATAGTGTCGTTGTGGATGTACCAAAATTAAGAGCTGCTGCTGTAGTTGTACTAGTAGGTTTGGCGGATGCGAATGATCCGCCACCTATACCAAAAGTGGGTACGTTTGATGTTTTTGTTTGGCTTGTATTGGGTTGACTAAGAGCAAAAGACGAGGCTGCAGTAGTAGTTGTGGGTGTAATACCGAAGTTTAATGTGGCAGCTGTGTTAGTAGCCGCAGCTGATGTACTTAAGGTGGAGCCTGTAGCAGTTGCTGCTGGAGCAGGACCAACACCGAACCCGATTGTTGAAGCAGAACCAACACCAAATCCACTTACGGGTGGAGTACCGAATCCAGATGATGATGCAGTAGTTCCAAATCCCATTGATGGGATAATAGTAGTTCCATGTGGTATGGCTGACGATGTTGGCGCGCCAAACGTAAGGCCTGTTGTTTGTGTTGAACTGGCACTTCCGAAACTTGTTGCCTGTGTTGTTGGTGGTCCGAAATTAAGTGGAACCGCATTTGTTGTAGTTGTCCCAAAACCAAAGCTTGAGGCCGCAGTTGAAACAATAGGAGTTCCGAAACTAAAACCTGTTGAAATTGTAGTTGTTTTTGGTGTGCCGAAAGAGAAACCAGACATTGTTTTCGAAATTGTTGAATTTTGTATGTAAAGTTCACAAATATGTTACATCCAGAACGAATTTTGTTTATGACAACTGATACAATGAATTTATATCAGTGACATTAAAATGTTACACCATGTGCACACAGTGCACCTTGTTACAGTAAATTTGTTACAAATCGTCAAATTCGAAATTTGCGTATGTGCGTGAAGATAGCGTCGACGATAAGTCCAAAATGGAATTGGCACATTTTTCGCCGCGTGAAAAATGCAGTATACTTTAATTAAGGAAAAATTTATTATTTTATTAAATTTAATTCGGCAAAAGGCATTATTAAGTAGAAAATTGAATTATTTTACTATCTAAATTCAACTTCTATGTGTAAATGATGTAATTTGTATGAAAAATGAAAAATAAAAATCAGCCCCAAAAGATGGGGTCACTAATTTATTAATAACTTTTAAACTAGAGGTAAAAAGTTATTATGGCTTATTCGAAAGAGCATAAAATTACCTTTCATATAAAGCAAAGTTTTGTATAGGTTGTTCGATTAACTTAGGAGCAATGCTGCGATGAAGATAGAAATGTCATTTTCAAACATTATTTAATTAAAACTTTTTTACTTAACTAAAAATTATAAATTAAAAAGCATAATATAGAAAAAAATTTTCTTTAAAATAAGGAAAATAAAATTTTGTAAAAATAGATCACTTTACAAAATTAATTATATCTTTAAAAGCAGAGGTACCATTTTTCTACAAATTAGTTTAGTCGAAAGAGGACACTTCAAACTTTTATTTGATGTTTTCATATTTTTAGATTTGTCGATTAACTTAAAAGTTATTGAGTGTCAAAGTTCAAAAATTAATTTTCTTTTAAAAACGACATTTTTCTTATAAAAAGCATATCCCAGAAGTCAGAAAACAGTTAATATATAAAAAACTTGGAATACAATACTCTAATAAGCACAATTATTTGAAAAAAAATAGAAATTAGTTTAATGATATTATTTATTCAAAAATTCTGTACAAAGTTGGTTAATAGATGGCATACCATTCTTAATTAAATTCGTTGAAAAATTAAATTGGCACTGAAAAACATAATGTACAGTTGCAGAGTTATTGGTAAGTCCATAGTATTGCAAAAGAGAAGCTAACGTCTAATTTTTATTAAGCTTGCTGCATTAAAGATATTATCAAAATAAGAAACTAGAATTTTTTCTAAAACGATTGATATACAATAATATATATCTCGTTCGATTAACAAATTATATATAATTGAATTAAATGAGCACTAACTTGGGCATGCACAACAATTGAAATTGCGTTGATATTAAATATCAAAATATAGTTAGCGTCGAATATTTATTAAGATTACTGCATCTACGATATTATTTGAACAAAAAACTAGAATTTTTTCTAAGACAATTAATGTCTAATATTATATATATTGTTCGATTAACAAATTAAATAAAATTAATTTAATTATGAGCTAACTTGTGAATGCAAAACAGTTTAAATTGCATTGATGATAAATTTGGGAAATTTAATGTCAAAATATAGTTAGCGTCGACTATATAAAAACTAAGTATATTTAGAAAACCAAACATATTTTTTACTGTTATCTGTCTTCTATTTCATAGTTTTTAATTAAATAATAATGTTTTAATTAATTAAAACTTGAAATAATATCGTAATAAAAAATCGACGCTAACTATATTTTGACATTTAATTTCCCTTCATCATCAGTGCAATTTCAACTGCTCGACACTAATTTTTTTGACATTTAATATTCCACACTTATCAATGCAATTTCAACTGTTGTGCATAAATAAGTAAGCGCACATTTAAATTAATTATAATTAATATGGAAATATTCTATATTTTTTAAGTAATTGTAATAATTAGTGCATTATATTCAAAGTTTATTCCGTACTAACATTTCTCTGACTTCTGGTATATGGGTTTTGTAAGATAAAAGGTTTTTCTTTTCAAAGAAAATTAGTTTCGGAACTTTGGCACTCGATTACTTTTAAGTTAATCAACCAAGGTATAAATATGAATATTTATTATTACTTATTTAATATTTATTATTACTTATTTAAATTTAAATTACAAATTTTTAAATATATTTTATTAATTTAATTTCATAATACTTACCATTATTTCAATTTTTGTCAAACGCGCACTACTTTATCAAGTGAAAGATAAACGCAAACTGAATGTTGCATTTGCATTTTGCTTATTTCATTTTCGTAAACAAAAATAATTGCTTGAAAATAGTTAAGCAATTTCAAATCCTGAAATTTAAAACACATTATTTTAGGTTTTATTTTAATTTTTTGTATTATTATAATATATTCTTATTATATTATTCTAATCTTATATTATAAATCAATAATATATACAGAAAAATTTATATTCACAAATTCCATTCACATATTCTAATAGAAATAGGTTGTAACACTGATAAGTGTTGTTGTTAGACACCAGCCTAATAAATAATAAATAATCAACCTATAAAATTGGATATTTTGTAAAAAAATGCAATATTTTCGTGTGTATTTTGATCGTTATAATAATTCTTTTTTAATTAATCAGGCCTATTCTGAATACTTCCATGGAACAAAACTCCCTATTCCCACGCTGTTCCCAAACACACAACTCCCTTATTCTGAATTGCTTGGGAGACAGCAGTTTTGGGAACAACAACAGTTTCAAATTTGTTTTGTTAAATTTTGGCAACCATGCCACTTTTTAATGACGAAAACTGCGAAAATGAGCAAAACAAAGAAAAGAATTGCGTATCATATGTTGATTTAAATGTAATTCGCATTATTTGTTTGCTGCATAAATTATCGGAAATAAATATAAATTATTTTATGAGTAAATAATAAATAATAAAATAATAAAAAACTTTTATTTTAATGAGTAAAATAAATATATAAAAAGAATTGTGCATGAGCAAAATAAACCAAATGCTAAATTCTAAATTTTTAACTCTTTTTTAAACTAATTAAAAAACAACATTACGTTATGATATCAATTCTTCAATGTCTTTATTTTCAAACATTCACTGCTTTTATATAAAATTGGCGTAAATTATAATTTAATTTTTTTATATAATTAGGATAGAAATGTCCTTCATGCTTCAATTAATGAACTAATAATAGTTTATGATTGTTACAATAAAAAAGAAGCAATGTTTTACCTGCACATAATTGCAAAAGTTTATTTTAACTTATTCTAGAAATCCCATTCATTTCAGAATGTGGTCTCCTTTCATTTTTCTATTGTTTTAAAAACAATAGTTAACACTTTAATTAGTGAAAAAAACCCGTGTGAATAAAATAAATAAATAAAAATTTAAATACTTCAAATTTGTTATACTTTTATTAAAATAATAATTTTAATAAAATATATTAAATGAAAATTTCGTTCTATTAAATTTATTAAAATAATTTTATTAATATATATAAAATAAAATAAAAAAATAAAACTTTGAAAATATTAAATTTATTGTAATAATTTTATTATAACAATAATTTTATTAAAATATATTCAAAAATCTGATCACTTTCAGTTACTTTTATGTTAAATTAAACTATTTTTAATACTTTTTTAACTTTCCTCCCCAACAATTTGTTTGGAAAAGAATTTGTGCAAAATTGGGAAAAAAACTCCCATTCCCATGCGATTCAGAATAGCAAAATTGGGAACAGGGAACAAAACTCCCATTCCCAAATTATTCAGAATAGCAAACTTGGGAACAGGGAACAAACTCCCATTCCCATGCGATTCAGAATAGGCCTGAATGTTTTTCAAAAGGATAGATAGTCGCTTTTTTTATTGTTTCATTCATTTATTTGCAACAAATACATAAATGCCATAAAACGAATACAAACACAAGGTGGTGTTGGCTGTTAAACCCTCATTATTTGATGTACTCCGCATTTGGGGCTATGACTCAATTTATTTATTGATCAAATGCAAATTTTTAAAAAATCATTATAAAAAAACTGTGCGTACGACTTTTATGAATTTTGAAATATTGATAATATCATCTTTATATAGACATATAGATTATCCCGATCGGAGTTTTGCACGGTAAGATATTTGATTGTAAAAATATGTAACTTCAAAAAAAAATTTCAATATTTTTTGATGAAACTTGTATGATATGTATTAAATATTAAATTGATATTTTAGTGTAAATGCTATTTACACAAATTGTTTCTTATTCACTATATTTCTTGTTCTTAGGCGTGCATTACACGTGTATATATTTATTTAATATTTATTATTGTTTTGCACTTACAGCAAACGGTTGAAAGAATCGAACCAAAAAAGAGATAAACAAATAAAGTATCAAAAGGATTTTTAATGTACAAATAATTTTATATTTTCCCGCAAAAAGCAAACTAAATCGAGCGTCGCTATTCTGTGTGTTGATTTTACAAATATCTACTGCATACTAACTGATGCTGCCATCCTGTATTGTGCATTCTGATCTTTTTGTAGTACTGCCACTGTGTTTAGTAATTTTTACATTTTATATACCATTCTTATGTGATGTCGCCACAGTACCCCCTCCTAACGGCGGAGTTTGGGCGACGGCGCGTTACGAATGTAGAGATTAATGCAGTTACTCGCGGTAGTCATACAGTTTCGTTGGAAAATGCACTACTCGATCAGAACGCGTAACCTTTGAGGAAACAGTTGGTGGTTTTGGAACCTTCTTCTCGAATACTCCTGCCCGCTCTGGAGTGACTACGGAGGGTGGCGAGAGCTGCTTGTCAATATCTTCATCGTTGGTGAGGTAAGCTGGTTTCAATCTGTCCAATGCGACGGTGCACTGTAACAACATGGATTCGTCGTTTTTAATTTTGCTGAGGTATCACTCAGTCGCGGTCCGGGTCGTTGCAATAAATTTGTTTTATTGACTAGTTCGAAGCTCTGAGACCAAGGAAAAGCAAAGACGCTGTTTGTAGTGTTAAAATGAATGTCTTTATTATAAAATTTTATTAACTCAAGAGAGCTTCCAAATCAACTTATGCTAATTATTATGCTACAGAAGTTATACAAATTTCGACTAAATAGCTTCTAGCCAACGATGTCAGAACATCAGAGGCGTTATATAAAATTACTCTACTGTACAA